GGGGGGGGGGGTGACTGTAGAGTTAGTGGTGATAGTAGTAGGAGTAGTATTGGAGTAGCAGAAGCAATGTAAATGGTCAGTGGTGTCGTCCATCTTCCACAATTACATCACAACATACGGCGTGTATGCTCCATTCTGCCATTTTTATTTTATTGCCCATTCATTTGTTTTACATTGCGAATCACTTAAACATCACCAACCACCAATCTGTTGTTTGTGAGAAGTATTTTTTTTTTCTCCGTAGATCATTTTGACACTAATGTAAGCAACATCAGCGAGTTAACACAGAAAGCTCAGCATTTCAAGAATCGAGACACTTTAGTAACAATATTACAAAGTTCATTTTTTTTAGCTTCAAAAAATGAAAAAAGTGAACAAACAAAAAAAATAAACTTTTAAAGAATTAGCATCATAAAATTAATTTATTCCAAGTAAAAATACAAAATAATATTAATGACATTGACCAGATATGAAAGTCTCCCCCAGAAATAACTATTAATGGTTGAGAAATAAGTCTGTAAAGAAAAAATACGAAATAAAAATGAAAATATGTAAATATGTTTAAATTCTTTTCTTTTTTAGCAAAACTTTCTAAAAATAATGAAAATTTCTCAGTACAAAGGCTACATTACTACTGGAAGGTACTAGCAGGTAGAGTAGGTAAATACACAGTAGAAAATGATTTTAGTGAATCACAATGCTTGCAATGAAAATAATTCTGCAATAAAGGTTTATGCCTCTTTTTCTTGTTTTCTTTTTTTCTACAAACAGTACAAACAGTATTGCACATTACAACAAAGAATCAAGGTTCTTAGCCTTAAAAAATGGGACTAATTCAAGTCTTGCGTGAATAGAAGGCCACCAGTCAATTGATGCACCTTGGGGGCTTTCGATCAAGTTACAGGTGAAAACACTTGTGTCTGTTTTGTGTTAAAAATAACATTCTCGTCTCTCTACCTCCGGCTGTTCAGTGACTCTCACAAGTCTCCTTTTATTCTCGTTACCTCCCGACACCGTCAGGCTAACAAATCAGGGTCATGTTGCTTTTTTACAAAACAAAAGGGAGCACATACTTTTAGGAAACATAAAAAACTTCTCTTAAAAAAATAATGAACAGAAGATCTCTTTCACAACTCTGGTCAGCATAGTAAATGATTGATTATAAATATACAAAAACGTGGGAAATATGTTCAGTTTTCTCTCTGAGCACCTGATTTTTCCTAAAGAGCTCTTTCTCCGATGTTTCGACCAATTTGACCAGTGGGACACTCACCCCTAACTTCCACTGTAATAAAGTAGACTGTACTCTCACTAACTACATCATTATATTAGTTATAAAGCTCTAGCTCCTTCAGTTGTTGTCTTTTTCAAAAAAATAAATTCTTAAAATAAAAGCAAATAAGCATGATAAAAATAAAAAATCAACCATCTGTTAAATCATTTCTCTTGAAGAATTAAATTAATATATATTTTTTCATCTGAATAAACTTACTTAGAAAATATCAGTTTCTCTCCTAATATATTTCAAAATTGAGGTATTGCAAAAGATCTTGTCAGTCAGAAAGCACGCTTTATCGTCTTTTTTTTTGTCTTTTAACAAAAAGAACTGCTGACCGTCGAAAACTGTTCAGATACAAAGAGTAGTGCATAACAAATATCTATCATAGAGAAGGAACAAACATAGAAAACCTGTCTGGGTGGGGAAAGAAATGTCACAAAAACACCCAGAATTCACTTTCATAGGGATACTTATTATTACTCATGGTTAGCCTCGTGTTTTTAGTCTTTTTTTTTTCTATCAGTAAAAAAGTATCTTCTGCTTATTTTCAATTAGTTTTTTTTCTTGGACAACAAAAACATCTATCCTAAAGCAAAAAAACAAACAAAAACAGTTTGCGACTAAACGAGAAAGAGGAGAGGGACTGCGGGGCGCCAGCACGGGACAATCACAACTCACGGACAAAAGAAAGAGGGGACGACACACATGAACTTGCAATGATGTAGGACCCCGTTCGGATTGTCCACAAAACTGCTAAAAACCAGTGTAACTTGGCCCCCCAACCCCAACCCCCAAGCCAGAGCCGCCCTTGTCTTCAGCAGCCAATACTTAAGTTTTTCTATGCATTCATAACTACCAAACACCCCCCCACCCCCACCCAATCCTGTTTGAACTGCGCACTATAACCTTTTGATAAAAGATATATATGTCCACCATGTTTTTTTTTTTTTTTTAGGCAGGCTTCCCAATTACTTCAAGCTTTGCAGGCAAAAACTTTAATGTAAAACCCCAAGCTTGCACATTCTGGCAATTCTTCTGGGCAAATGTTTTTTTCCCTTCCCCCCACCCTTTTCCCCCACAGCCCCCAACCCAAGCCATTGTAGGTGGAAGATCATGTTGCGCAGAGCTCAGTTTTAAATTTTCAAAACCTTCAAGTTCTCCAGTAAAGCTTCAATGTTTTCATTTTAACCCCCTCCCGAAATTTCTTTCCCCCAAACTTGCCCTCTTCCCTTTTTTCCTCTAACCCGGGCTTGGCAAACCGCTGGCCGCAAAAACCCTCGCGCTTCCCTATGCGGGGAGGCCTGTGAGCGCCGCCGGGCCTTCCCTCTGCGGGTGGGGGGCTGTTCGCTCCGCGTTGTAGTGTGGGTCGAACACGTGAAGCTTTCTTTGGTTTGGGCATTCTGGGAACGGTTAAAAACGGTTTTGCGCTTTTTTTGTCAAAACGTGTGGAACCAAATTTCATAAAAAAATAATAATTAAACCAAAAGACCTTCATTTCTCAGTTTAAGCTCACAAAATTGTTTTTGGTCTTTCCTTCAGGTCCCAGACTCCTGTGTTTGTAAGCCTGTTTGTTTGTTGCGGTAAGAAAAAGGAAACAAGCCGTTTCCGTGTGTGTATGTGGTTGTTGTATGTGGTATTGTGTGTGTTTGTGTGTGTTCCATGTTGTGTCGAAGGAGGCTTTCTGTGTTGTAACTGGTTGCAAGTTTTTCTTGTTGTACAACGAAGAACATTTAACGTATATACGCTGGTTGCATACACTTTAGTTTATTGAAGTTTCCAAAAACCAGGACTTCTATTGTCGGAACATTTTAACGACAGTTAAAGCGAATTTCCACAGTTCTTAGGCAAGTAACCTTTCAGACCTAACCTAACAATAACGGTAATAAAAATTGCACAATTAATAATCAAAAACAATCCACTGCAAAAAAAAATTAACTTTCCATATATAGAACAAGTTTAAATGGTAATCCTACATTTAATTTGATTTTTGCTGATTATTTAAAGGTTTGTTTTTTTTTTTTCCCCCTTGTCGTCTGGATGTGTTTTTCTGGCTCTTTGGCCGCCTGTGGCGAGGCCTGTTTCAGCCGACCAGCCGCCGCGGGAGGCCCGCCATTGATTCCTTTTTTTGGACCAGGGTCGTTCCCTGTTTCTGTTTTCCAGTTCGGTGGAGTCGAACGCTATTAGTTGTTGTTTGGCAAACATTGGGGAGAATCGAATATAGGAACATTGATTACTGAAAAGTCTATTGCCATGCGCAACCGATTGAAAAATTAACAATGGCATTAAGGGCGGACCCACCCGGAACCCCCACCCAAAGGTAAGCCTCGTTTTTGTTCTAGGGCGGCCCCCTCCCCCTATTGATAAGGCTCGTTTCATTTCTCTTAAGAATCTGTTATTTATTATTTTACACCCCTAGCCTGGAAAAAAAAAGTTACTTTATTTTGGTAAATCTGTTTATTACCATGCGATTTTAGCAAAGGCCAAAGCTATTTGCAGGCATTACATTTACATAAAAAACACTAAAAGGAAATAATTGTTATTATAAAATAAAAGAACCTAAGAAATCGAAGCAAAAAACTAAAATCCGAAATCGCATATTGAGGTTATTAATATTTTCAAGAGTCCAAATTTGAGAAGTGGAATATAAGCCCGTTGTTATCTCTGTGTCGATATCGGCCACCCAATAATCGATAATTGAATCGAATCATGCCAATCCATTGCTTTCTGAGCATTCATGCCGGTAATTGATGTACTAGGTGCTAATATTAAAAACAGGCTCTGGAAAAATAAGGATTGCTCCTTACCAAAATAAAATTTATTAATTCCTATAATTAATTGTATAGATAGGACCAAAACCAAAAAGAAAATATTATACTTTTAAATATTTGGTATGTTCCCACCTTGTTTCTTCAGTAAGGTTGGGCGTCCAAAACCAGTTGAGTACCACACCAAAAAAAAAAAAACCCAAGTCAACAGAACGGGAAACTGAAAGTAGCCAGGTGTCTAACATACCCTCCTGTGTGTGTGTGTGTGTGTGTGTGTGTTTATGTGTGTGTGTCTGTGTGTGTGTTTAATGAGATTTTGTGCCAAAGTGCAAATTCTAAGCTGATAGACTTTTCGCATTTCATTTCCCCGCAATGCTTCATCAGAGGGAACACTAGACAATGAGTTCAGAGCCGTGTGGCATGAAGACAGTCCCATGTATTTGACGGTATCCTTTTTGCTTTTTTTTCATGAGGTGTTTGTGGGGAGCAGGGTGGAGTAGGCTGGGGCTGTGGGGGAGGGGCGGTTGCAGCTCTGTCCCGGCCTGTAGGGTAGTAGGGGTGCAGGAGGTTTTTAGGGGGTCGGTTGTGGGTTCACCGGAGGGGCAGGGCTGACTCGTGACACCCCCCCCCTCAGCTCCAGCGGAAGGACACGTGTCGAGGGCGGTCGCCCCCCTCCTTCACCAGTGGCTTGTGGAACTCTCGGCCGGCTCGTGAGTGGATGCTGGCCCAGCAGTACTCGCAGTAGTACTGCAGGCAGGTGACGTTGGCACAGAAGAAGGGGGCGAACTTCCCCCCGCAGCGTGCCCCCTGGCACTCATCACACATCTGGTCGTCCAGGACGTACGGCTTCACCTCCACCTGGAAACAAAGAGGCGGTGTCGAGTTTAGACACGGATCAGAACATGTGTTGGGTTGCGGCGCCGTTAGTCATCTCGTTAGACAAACATGGATTGTGCCCTGGATGGGCACCTCAGCTCCCAGCAGGCAGCTCTCTCAGCTGCTGCCATTGGGTGGTTACAATAGTACTGCAGTCGCAATCTGAGTAATGCCGTCTCATATTCGCTCTTAAACGCACTACAGGGAGTTTTTAACTGGTTATAAAACAGTCTCAGTTTAATACTGATGCCTCTATATGACCGCCATAAACAGCCAAACAATCAGCGAGAAGATTGGCTACATCTATTTAATTCTTTTTAATGCCTGCCACCAGGTCGGATTCCCCTTGAAATCAATAAAACGAGGCAGTAGAAACACTACAGCTTTTGTCCACAGGGGCCGCCAGAATCAACACAAAATGACAGTTCCTTGTTGCTGCTTTAAAATAATCCTATTTTTCACGAAACGAGTGAATTGATCTAGGATAATTCAAAACAGGTACTGTATTCCCACTGCAGCGTTTGAAAAAAGCTTTTAAAGGGTCTCAATCGAGTGGTGATGTTTCAGACTGCAATCAACTGAACACTGCTGCCATCTGTTTCTGCCAATGTTACACACTGGACCTTTAACTCGTATCTTTATGCGAGACTAATACACAGTAATACCAACACAAACAGTAAATGTGTTCAAATAACAGCTCTGTTGATCCAGATGTGTTAGCTCCTTCAAGCCATTATCCAAAAGCCCCATGCAAGGCAATCTCTGTGCAATTCTCCAAATTGAAAGCGGGCTAGATTGAGGCAGGTATCCTCTCGTCTGCCAGTGAAATGAGTTTGACCACTAAGCCAGGAAGACAAGAAACGAGAGCTCAGTCGCCATGGAGACGCCTCAGTTCATGAGTAAGCAGGGGTGGATGCTAACCTTGTTATAGCGTGACCACAAAATGAAAGGTTATCAAATCCGTCAGCTGCAGGAGACCGTCCCTCTCAGTTAAAACTCTGCAACAACTGCAGTGCAAATATCCAAAAGACAAATGAAGGAGGAGGAGGCCAGGCTGAGACGGCAATGCTGCCATGCTATTAAATACCAATATCAAGTCAGCGGACGTGAAGCTGGCCAGGGGTAATGTGCGTCTGTGTCCTATTATCAAGAGTCATTTACAGTTAATGGAATTGTGGACGCTGAAGGTGAGAAAAGAGGAAATTAGAAAGAAAAGTGGCAAAAACAGGCTTCCTCGTTCCGTACCACCAGTTTAAACTCAAACTAACGGCGATTCTCAAAGATTAACTGGTTTAAAAAAAGGCTGTTCGAAAAATGTCTTATTTTGAAAGTAATACCTTCATTCACAGCATTGTGTATGCTAAATGTTCTCTTTAACTTGTTTTGAACATTATTTGCGTTCCACCCACTTCCAGTCATAATAAAGACACCCTAAACCCCCACTGAAGATCGATGGTGATAGCTGAGGTGGGGTGCACTGCCCCGCCCTGCAGAGGCTCGGCTTCCTGGCTGACAACCAGTCTCCCTTGGTCACGATCTGTCCCGCTGCACTTGGCCCGACGTGCCTAAAATAACCAGGCTGCAGCACAGCCCGAGTGGATATACATGTATAGGGAACTACTATAATTAAACCAACCCTCTGTGTCTGCAACTTGAAACATCTGTCGGGACTCCGGCAGCCAAAGGCTGTAGTGATTGCACAGCCTGGCCTGGCCTTCCGTTATTGTAGGCTATGATGTGCAGTTGGCTGAAAACCCAGCTATAATGAAAGCTCTGATACATGGGAGAGGGCTCGAGCAGAGTTCAGCTCTGCAGCATGCCATAGGAATGACTGTGAAAACCTCAGCTGTGGTGGGGACGCTGCTCTCTTTTAGGGGGAAGGATGTTGTGAATGAAGCGCATGAACTCGCTCACCCTTTTGTCGATGTCATTGTGCTGCAGCTGAACGAAGCGAGCGCTGATGGCAGCAATGTAGCTCTGCTGGTTGGAGAAGGCCACGCGGCCGGCCCCCTTCGGGTATTTGAGCTCCGGGTCGGTGTCAATGCCGGCGTAGCAAACACCTCCGTACAGCCGGTCCATGATCATAGCCAGCTCCACTGGAGAGAAGAAAGTGAAGAAAAGACAAGAAAGTGGAATGATTAGCGCCACAGCCCAGCCTCTTATTGTTGGTTTTATTCTCCATTATTCTCCTCAAAGCCCTCAGCCTTCCTAAAAAAACAACGTAAAAGGTTTAACTTTTGTGATTGACGCCGTTATTACCTGATGTAAAAATCTACCCTACTCCACTATTCATCAGAGCTGCAGTCTCAAACTGCTGGTATAATTAGTAGGGGTCACATTGCAGACAAGCCAGCGATGTTTATCCCAAGAACAGAAGGACTGAGCCTTCCATTACACCATGAATTCTTAACATGACGACCACTTGGCCTGCTTCCTGGAAACCCAAGTAGAGGATTGCTTTCTCAGAGGGAGAACTTTCATTATAACCTCCAGGCAATGCGCACCATGCCAACCGATGTTATGAAGCCAATTTAGGGGCTTTTAGGGGATCGCATAAAAATATATTCCATTCATATAACCTACCTGCACGCAGGGGCCGCGGCACACCCCCTACAAAGATGGTCTTGCGGGGGTCCAGAGGCTGGGAGCCGTCCATGACAAAGTCACTGTCGCTGAGGTTCCAGGGACGGATCTGGACCTGCGTAAGAGAGATGGAAAAAGATGTGGTAATTTAGAAGCCAATGTGTGGTATACTTCCTGTCCATTTATTAGCCATGCTAGCAGCATGGCTCTGCTGAGGACAATGTCCATCTGCCGGTCGGTCCAACACTTTGGTCCAGGATCGATTGCCCTGGAAATTTATACAGATATCCCTGGTCCCCAGACGATGTATCTACACGACTTTGGTGATTTTTTGACTTTTCATCTCGTGCCACCACCAAGTTAATGTTTTCACTTACTCTGTGAAACCATGTCAATATCTACAAGATGAATTGAAACTTTATTTGTACACACAGTCATGGTTCCCCGATAATGAATCATAATGACTTGGGTGATTTAGCTCCATCATCAGGTCCATTTTTATTCGTCTGATATTTTGGCACTGAACAGAAAAAGTAATCATATTCCCATCAGCCTCAACTGTACTTTTTGTTCAGTGCTAATTAAACTTTAGCAGCAACGATGATGGTTCATATGGTACAAATAAAATGTCATTGCAAGAATGTTAGCAGGCTGACTCATAGCACCAAGTGCAGCCTCACAGAGCTTCTAGAGTTTTGTGTCCTAAAAAAGAAATGCAGTCTAGGACAGATGGGGGAATGTGAAGATCTACTGCCGCTCACCGGTTTGTCTTTGATGGTGGGGCTGGATACACACAGGTAGAGCTTGCCGTCCTCCTCGATGCAGGCGTCGATCAAAGCCTGAACAGAAGTCTCTTCCTGGAAGAGCAGGAAGGCATAGCCTGGAAAGAAGAGGAAACAGGGATTTTAGGAAAAGAGCAGGCATTCTCTGTCATACCCTTGTGACCACAATGCTTTAGACTCTGTCCTCTGGGCAACAATTCATAGACATTTGAGTATTTTCTACAGTGTCTACATTGTACAAGTCACAATCCTATGACTAAGCCCCCCCATTTTTCCGTGTAATTATTCATAGTTTCAGACAAATTCGTCTCCACAGAAGCATATGACCTTGTGGCCTGTTCTTGTGTCCTCTTTTGCCTCGCCTGCCTCCATAAGGCGCTGTACACCCAGCACCTTGCTGCCTGTGCTGCTTCAGATTAAATGGCTAAGAGTGATCCACTCCTAAAGGAACCATGCAAAATTGATCAGTTTGACCCACTGCAGATCTTCCCTGAGAATTGGTTCAGGTAGAGAGAAAGTTTGGTGATGTCTGTGCGAGGCAGAAAGAAAGAGCAATTCAGACAGTCACTCTGTACTACTGAATTATTTAGCATTGAGAGCAGAGACCTTATCCAAGGTCAGAGCTATTAAGCCGTTTTGGGAGGGACAGAAAGCCAGCTCAATAGTGTAACACCTATCAAACAATGCTGCAGGGGTCGGTGAGCATCTGATTTATACAGATAAAGAACAAAGAAGCAAGAGCTCAGAGACACTTTTAGATAGCCAAATAATAAACACACAATACGAGGCCAAAAGAGGAAATGGCTGAATGTATTTGCCGTCAAAAAGCTGCAGATGTTGGTGCACAAAGTCATGTCTGAATGGGTTGTAAATGGTATATTTCTCTGATTATGTTAGCAGAAGCCCGGCACCACCTGTGGCACCCATGAGTCAAGGGAATATGAGCTGCCGCCTGAGTGGAGCAACTGGGATGGGTAGATATGCACACGCTCGCACACCCAGAGACTAGTTTCTGCTGGAGTACACTCCAACTTCCAATCACTTTGTGTCTAGTGTCCCTTGAGACTACTACAAAAGCCATGTGTTCCGGTATCTCTTAAGAAGCCGTCTCTCAGTATCACCCTCGCACACACACAAACTCCGACACATGCACTTATGCGGACAAATGCATGAGGGAAAATGGCGAGGAAGAGGAATGTGCAACTGTCATGTTTCACTTTCAACATTCCTGAGCGGAGCTGCCGCGCATGGGATGAGGGGGAAAAGGAGAAATAAAGCCTGACTCGGCAGACCCAGTTAACTGAGGTATGTGGATAGGTCTGAGTGAAAGTGTGTATCAGGGCAGGGAGGGGAGGGGAGGGAAGGGTGTGCTGCTGAAGAGGGAGGGAGGGCGGGGGGAGCAGAGGGAAATAAAAGCAAGGCAAGAAAGAGAACGCAGTAAGCATCAAAGGTGGAATGGAAAAAGAAAAGCAAGTGCGTAAGCAGGTGCATGTGTCCTCACAAGGGCTAAAACCGCTGCTCGCTCTGACAGCGGCCGTCGACCGTGTGTGACGTGAGTCCTGATCCAAGTGACAGTGTCAAGTCTCGAAAGGTGATTGTGACTTTTTGACATTTGCGTCTATATCAGCAGACGATTATGTAGACCGCCATGTTGTATAAGAATCATCAGAGTTACAGTCTTGATGACTATGAACACCATGTATGTGCACAGATCAGTGGACACGTGAAAAAAAGATGCAGAAAACATTTGGACTGGATGGACAGAAAATAAATCCATAAATTTGACGATTTAAAAATTGTTCTATTGTGTGGGTCACTGATAACACTTCATTTAGATAGTCTACCTACAAATAGTTTATAGTATAGTATATTATAGTATAGTTTAATATAATACTTGTAACCCTTTTTTGCTTTTTGTGTCTAAATCATGGGTCTAAACCTAACCAAACCTCAACTACAGTGCTGGTTTTATTTGTGAAACATTGAATCTCAACTAATAAGCTGCTGATATACTCTACTCTACTCAAAGTACTCTATCAAAATAAAGTGTCACTGGGTCATTTTTAAAAGTGAAAATGCCAAACATTTGCTGGTTCCAGCTTATCAGTCCTGACGATTTCTTGTTGATCTTTCCCATATATGACAGCAAACTGAGTATCCGGGTTGGGTTTTAAACTGAAGGATACTAAAGGTATCCGTTTGTGCTGTGGAGGATTAAAATGGGCATTTTTCACTATCTATTATGGTTAGAAGGGAAAATAGACGCTTGTTTTGTACCCCAACTTTCAACTTTATCTTCAATGGATATTCATTTTATTAACTCTGCCAACATAAATCATTTAGTTGCCAACCACAGATACCATGATGTCGACATGATACTGAAGATTAATAT